GCTGTCCTTTCTGCGTTCAGATTATTTCAAGGTATGATTCAGATGGTTTACTTTTATTGTCTTACTTTCCGATGTATATCCTTCTATCTTTAAAATTCAAAAAAAACCAAAAAATAAAAAATAAAAAGTCAAAATCAAAAAATCAAATGAAATTAATTTTTTCATTGTCGAGGAATGTCTATATTCCTAATCTTGTCACTTTTCCTATTCTTTTTTTAGTTCTGTTAAATGCAGGTTTCAATAATATGACATGCTTGCGGACGTCATGCCTAGATCCTAAAACGATGTCAGATCCCCAAAATAATGAATCAAGAATCATATTGAAACAAAGATAAGTTTAAGGAAAGAAATAAAGAATCGGAACAACTAAAGAAAAATTGGCTCTGGATTGGAATGGTCCATACATTATAACGAGATGTAACTACATTCGACTTCATTCAAAAAAGATATGTAGACAACCTCTCTCTGGGGTTCAGTCACACCCAAAACAAAAATCCAAATTCCCCCTAAAATGAAACTGGGCATATGTTATAATGGTTCGGTGATGGTTTCGCGTGAAAGGCTCCAAAGTTGTGATTTAATCCAAATCCTTTTACCCCATATCCTATTCAAGTCCTTCCAATCAATCATCAAAGAGTTTCAAAATGGGAGGATACAGTTATTTGGATCTGATGTGACCAAATGAGAGACATAAAATGAGAGAGTCTTGTTGGTGAAAACCTTCACGGGCACCATAAAGCGATGGTAAGAAAAGAAATAAAAAATGAGAGAGTCTTGTTAGTGAAAACTCACAAATAGCACTATAAGGCGATAGTGAGAAGAGAAATAAGAGAGGTCGGTTGGTGAAAACATGCAAAGGGTGCCGCTGATCGAAAAAGAGGGTCCTCACAATCACTGGCATCGAAACAGTCCTGGGCAAGGTTTCTCGGTCTCGAGACTAAAGCTATGATGAATTTTTGAGAATCGGACGGTTTACACCGATCATGCATCTAGTCCAAAAGGCATGTCATGTTCATTGAAGTCCACATGTACTCCAGATAAGTCCTTATTTCCTTTCCCTGAAAGGTATATCTCGTATCTAAATTCATTGTCCATTCCATTATTTGTTTTTCTTTGAATCCCTTTCGGTCTAATTCTGTTCTGAAACTAAGACAAAGAAAGGATGGTAAAACTGATTTACAGGGTTCTTATTTGATACAAGCTAATATGCAAAAAAGGCACCCATCCTCAGCATGGGGAATCAAGTCGACCTCGACTGGCCATGGTGGCTGATGTTTTGAAATTGAAAACTCTCGAAAGAAGGAAATCAAATTGAAATGCCTACAAGGGCGAAAATGAAATTGAAAAGTTTGAGTCCCTCGCGACTAACCGTCTTCGGAAGGTTTGAAAAGGCAAAGATTCCCCAATACCTTGATGTTTAAAAAAAAAAAGAAATCAGACTGAAATGCCCACGAAGGCAAAACAAAGTTGAAAAAGGTTAGGTCACGTGTCATGGCAAGGTTTGGAAAAAATAAAAGTTCTCTGGGGAGAGAAAAGAAATCGATCTTCAGGAAAAAACAAGTTGAATTGAAAGTATCATCAAAGGAGCCGAGCCGAGATCAAGTGACTGGAACAATCAAGGACAAAAAACCAACCACCATTTCAAACTAGCAATTGTTCTTTGTTTGAAAAACAGGAAACAGGTATAATCCAAAGTAACCTTGCAAGAAGCAGGTGCAACAAAAAGAAACAGCACGAAGACTAAAATAGCTCTGCCATAACAACGACTCCAAAAAAAGGGAAGTCTTCTTCAAATTCTATCTCGCATTTTACTCACTTTTAATAAAAAAAATATAAAAAAGTTCAAATCATGGTAGTATAGGGTCTCCAATCCCTAGCTGCGTTTTCTAACATAGGGTCTCTACTCCCTAGTTGATTTTATTTTATACATAGGGTCTCCACTCCCTATTCTCTTTTCCAACATAGGGTCTCCACTCCCTAGTCGATTTTATTTTAGACATAGGGTCTCCACTCCCTAGTCGCTTTTCCAACATAGGGTCTCCACTCCCTAGTCGTTTTTCCAATATAGGGTCTCCATTCCCTAGTTGACTTTATTTTATACATAGGGTCTCTACTCCCTAGTCTTTATTCCAACATAGCATCTTTACTCCCTAGTTGACATTATTTTAGACATAAGGTCTCCACTCCCTAGTATCTTTTTCAACATAGCGTCTTCACTCCCTAGTTGACGTTATTTTAGACATATTGTCTCCACTCCCTAGTCGCTTTTCCAACATAGGGTCTTCACTCTCTAGTTGATTTTGTATTAGACATATGGTCTCCACTACCTAGTCGTTTTTCCAACATAGGGTTTCCACTCTGTAGTTGACTTTATTTTAGATATAGGGTCTCTACTCCCTAATTTCTTTTCCAACATAAGGTCTCCACTTCCTAGTTGATATTATTTTAGACATTGAGTCATCACTCCGTAGTCACTTTTCCAACATAGGGTCTCCATTCCCTAATTGATTGGTCTCCACTCGCTAGTTAATTTTATTTTAGACATAGAGTCTCCACTTGCTAGTCACTTTTCTAACGTAGGGTCTCCACTCCCTAGTTAATTTTATTTTAGAGATAAAGTCTCCACTCCCTGGTCGAGTTGATCTTAAATGAAGGATACACCATCCCAAAGAAACATGTTTTCCCAGGGTACACCAATCTTGACATTTATTGCTTTCAATAATGAAGTAGTATAGAATTTTGTTCCAAATAACTCACGAAATTCTCCTAGTGAAAATTAGGGCAGAAATTTCATTCGTTTGTTTGTTTTGGTGCTTGAGCAGGTTATTACTCGAGGCACAGGGTTCGAGATGACCAAAAAAAGTCTCAATCCAAAATAAAGAAAAGAAAGAGAAAAGAAGCGAATCCAAGTGCAGAAGTTGAGAAAAGGTGTGGACTGCTCAAGACATGACTGAAGTCACAGGCTTTGCATGTCCCGTTCTTGATACGAAAAAGCAGAAGAAGAATGAACTAGCACCTGCATCTAGCAAGCATCAAGGTTCAGATCAGAGTCTATGTGAAGAACCAGCCAAGATTGAAGATCAAGCTTTAAAAGGCCTATAGATAGGAATCTGTAACTCATAGATGATAGGCTTGTTTAGTTTCCTTTGATTTTGATTTTGGTGTAATAAGGAGTTCACCAAATAGTAACAATAGCAACATCAATGAAATCATAGCTTTTAGGTAGTCTCAGCTACCAAAACTTCCAGAACTATACTGACCTGATTCTTTTATAGCCAAGGATATGTAGGCAACCTCAGAAGCAAGGCTCGGTCAAACTTTTTCAAAATGCTTCCGAATGGAGTATCGAATGGGCAAAAATTGCTCGTAATTGCTCACTTTATATTTGCCCGAAAACTCTTCATGTTTTCGAGCAAAGAGGGGCAGCTGTGAGCACCTAATTTTTTCCCTACATGGGAAATTACTCCTAAAAATAGTCCAATAATAATTTTAATTGTTTTTAGGGAATTTTAGGAGTTTTTCTTTTATTTTTTGCACAGTTCATGCATATTTAAAAGTGTTTTAAATCATAAAAATTATCAAAAATATTTTATCTTTTATTTAGTGTGTTAATTGCATTTAGGAATTAATCATAGGTTAAAAGCATGGTTAAAATAAAGTCACAAAAAATATACATTAGTTATTTTTGGCATCTTTGTTGCTTTCTTAGCCTTAATTAATTAGTTTGATATAGTTAATCATTTGGTAGGTCGTTTTAAAATGAATAATTGGTTTGTTTTTGCAAAGAGTGGTTTCAAAATTGGAGTATTAAATTAAGTGGCTAAATTAAAAAAAGAAAAAGAAAAAAGAAAAAAAGAAAAGAAAAGAGGATTTAATTGATTTTTTTTTTTAATTGGGATAATCTTGCAAAGGAAAATAGGTATGCTTATTGAGCCCAGAATTTCAACGGCCCAATTGCCAAACATCCGCCCCTAGCTATACCTGAGCAAATCCCCCTTCATCCCAGAATGATGCCGTTCCCTTCCCCTCACTCATTAAAACACTCATCTCCCTCAAATCCCCTTAGAGAAACTGATCTCTTCCCCTTTACATAACCCTAGCCGCCTTCAAAAACCTTCCATCTTTCATCTCACTCATCTCTCACCTCTCCCAGTCAAGGATTCATCAGCAAAAACATATACGATAAGAGCTATTGTTCCATTGATAAATTTAATAGTTTGTGCTTCATTGTTTAGGATCATCCTTTGGGCTATGCCAAAATTCAAAGATCTGCATATCTAGTTCATCATAAAAGGATTAATGCTGAGGAGCCTCATATAAGTTTTGCATTTTACTCCTGACCTGGACAATAACTGAATGGTTATCACCAGATGACGATTGAGGTCAAATATCACGCCAAGGATAAGGATTGTCTATGTGATGCAAAGGGATACTTGTTCATCTGGAGAATTATACGATTTCATACAAACAAAGGGGAAGAGTATTGAAAAACAGGGACTAATTAGTTGTTATAAACCCAAATACTCTTCAAATGATTCATGGGACACCAACCAACTGAAGATTCATATCTTGCTTGTCGTGGCACTAAGCATAATTATGTCTCCTAAACAAAAATTCTCCTAAACTATAGTCGTCTCGAATATCTTCGGATAAATATAAGTTCTAAATGTCTATACTGCTTATCATTTTGTAGTCTCCATTACTTATTTACCACGACCGGTTGGCTTTTGGGCAATGCCATTGATGTTAGTGAAAAGATGTGAAATCTCATCTACTCTATTTAGTACTCCTATTTAATAACTTCATACGTTCCAATTTATGTGAATCTGTTTGAATATTTTGGAATTTGTGGTCCTAAATAAGTCAAAAAGGGGCCTAAAGTATTTGTGTGATTATAAAAGTTTCGCATTAAAAGTAATTTAAAAACAACGAAAATATGTTAACATAAAAGTAAAATTGTGATGTTATTGTACTTTACATTGGGAGTCGGGGAAGGAGAAATAGGCTGGAATTAGAAGGTGAGGAATAAAACCCTCACACAAAAGTAAAAGTTTAGGTAGTGAACAAGCAAAATGAATATTATTATCACATGATCTATGATTTATAGCTCAACAATAAAAAAAATTTAAATGACATACGACAAGTCATTCTGCTATCATATGCTGTAGCATTTATTTCTCATCAAAATTTTAATTCTGAATGGAGAAAGCAAGTCGTTCTACTATTACTCTCCTTACATGGTATTGCATCAGTTATAAGACTGAAACATTCTGCAGATCTCTTTAACTTATTCTCAGCCATATTCGACAAACTGTGCTGTACCTCTCAATGCTGATTCTGAACTGCATGAGATTTTTTTTTTAAATCAACACTTTTTAAACATGAATAAACTATTGGACAGTTATAATAACGAGCAAAATCACCGCCATTCAGTGTTTGTCGAATTACAGTATCTTTACAGTAGTAATAACTATAGCTCAATCCCAAACAAGTTGAAGTAGATATGTGAATCCTTGTTGACCATGTCGCTTTCTTTCAGCTCATCTTACGCCAATATTATTGTACACGGTCAAAATCCTATGCCTCCGATTTATGGGCTCGAGGTTCCATCTTAGGCCCGAGTTCGAAAACCGGTGGATCAGACTCGAGCTCGAAGACAGAGTGCTACGCCCGGAGATAGGGGTTCGAGGAATACCGAGGCCAAGTGTGCTCGACCCCGAAATAGTACCGTTATGGATTTGTAACGGAATGAGCTAGATTCCTGCCACGTCCCAAAGATCATGGGGCGAATTCCGAAATAGGATTGTACGATTCCGTACTAGGTGGTTAGACAGTTGTACCAAGAATATTTCTTACTATAAATAGAAATATACCTTATTTAGGGATTCCCCTATTATATAAAGCGGATCTCAATCATGTGTAACATCTTCTTATCATTGAGCAAAGAATATACTCTCTACTTTTTGCCTATTGTTCGTCAGAATTGTCCTTTAGCTTTATTGTTCTTACTTTGCTTTTCCTACTTAATTGTTCTTACTGCCCTAAGCCACCTCGAGGTCACTAAGCTCGAGGTCACTGCTGCTAAATAACATTGGTTTGATTTACTTCTATTTTTCATTTCTACTTCATATTTCTTGATTATTAATTGGTATCGAACTAAATCACATATCTTTAAAATCACTAATCAAATTTAATTGTTACTCATATTTTCGAGGTAAACAATTATAAAAAATGAAAATAACTCCTCCTCAGTGAGCTTATTCATATGCTGAACCAACTTATGGTAAAATAGAGTACTTTATTTATCATATCCATAAAACAACCACCTTCAGATATACTATTAAAAGACAATAAGTGTACCTTGACTCATGTACATCCTTAGAGTCAATACAAGATTGCTTGTCGTCAATAGAGCTAGAAATGGATGCAACTAATCAAATCTTGCATGACTCCTTAGAACAGTTCTGACTTGTGAAGCAGCCAAAAGGGGTTGCATAACCACTAGAAGGTTATTGTAGTAATGTTGTTGTCGCAAGTACTATATATTATCACATGACTGTTGTTGAATTAACAAAGAATTGACAACATTTATTTTCTATGGAGTTTACAAATGTAGTTTTATTGCAAGAAGCATTTCTGCTGTTTGAGTGGGAGAGCAACACAGTGGTTGCCGCATTAAAGGAGTCTTCACTCTTCAGGCAGGGTTCAATGATATTAGTGGCCTAAAAACCAAATTATACTAGGAGCCCTTAAACTTATTTCATAAAATTGATCACATACCAATGAGACTAACATAATTACTTTTAATTCTATAAATCAATCAAATCAGATAAAAACAAATAGCTAGTTCAGTAAATTTAAGTAGAGTAGAAAAATTCACAACTTTAATCAAATTTAAAGTTATCTAACCTATTTAGTGGCCTTAATTACCTTGGAGCCGGCCATGGGTATCTTGAGTGAAGAGTGACAAGGTATTTCCACAAGTACTGGGAGGAATTATATTTTCCGATCGAATCTGGGAAACAGAATCACCGGGTGTTGATGATGAGTTCTCAAGTTGTTTTGTGTAGAGGGAAAGTTGTTCACGAACTTTTTGAAGTTCTTGTTCACAAAGCCGAATATTAAAGTAAAGATTTCGTATTTCAGCCACACATCCATAGACAGGATGTTTTTGGCGAGCGTTTGCTTCGTAAATAATAGATTGCATAGCCGGTTTCTTTTCAGTAGCATCAAGTTGGTGTAGCATTTGAAGAATTTTGGAAACGCCAAATAGTCGGTATACATTTTGAAAAGTTTTGGGTTGATCCGCAGGAAAATAGGGTGCTAAGGGGCAGTGCGGATCACAAGGCTTCATCCCGTAATTGCAGGCAGCGCAGGCTTGGTTGGTGACATTCGTGAGATCCATTTTTCTTGTTCAAAACATTAAAAACTGACTAGAAACAAAAAGAAAAATCAAGAGTGACAATCTCTTGTGAGATGAGGGGGAAATGGGATTATCAAGAATTAAAGATGGTAGGAATAAGAAGGAACTTGGTGTGAAAGAGATATGCGACAGTGATGTGTTTATGTGGGGAAGGACAGACAATGGGAGAAAATTGATGATGTTATAACTTATAAGTAGCGGATTTTGCTGGAGTTGGGGTGAGAAGAAAGACTCAGTAAAAAAGAAGTGACCGAAGAGGACGCCGATAATTTCGGGGAATACGTTTTTTAAAGTCCATGAACGTCGTATGTAATCACATACTTTGACTACACGCGTGCTATCATGTATAACTACAATTAACAACAGATAATAAATAAAGAAGTGTAATAAAAATAATATAACAAATAACTTGTTATAACGGTAATATTTTATTTACTACAGTTTCTTTCATATGTAAACTTACCACCACCTCAGGTATATAACCTTTTGGTGTTACGGGTCTGGTTGGATCCTTTCTTGCAATTTCGTCAAGTTGCATTTACAAAGGAAAAGGGGAACATCAATCTTACCTTCAAAATACATCCAACACGACGGTTACACAGAGTCTTCAAAAAAAAAAAAAAAAAAAAGACATTTTTTTGTTAGACTAATTAAATAAGAGGATGGACGGTAATTCTAGTTAAGGATAATTAATTTTAGATCCGAGATGAATAATATGAATAGAAAAACATAGTTGAGTATAAATGTTGGCAGTGATTATGGCCAGATCATTTAATAGCATGAATAGAGATGCATTAAGTAACATTAAATGACAATAAAATATAAATAAAGGAAAAGATTCACCCAACTTGAGTGAGGCGGATCCTTTTTTATTTAATAAAGAAGAATGATAGACAAATACAAGAACCTTAGGACCCTTTTTGGATCTGATGAAGGTATGGGATCACAGATCCTCTAATCTCTTTAGAGAGGTGTGTTTACATATTTTCTAAAGAGAGGGAGAGAGCCCCCTCCCCCGGAAAATCCTCTCTTCCTATTTATAAAGGGTATCCATAGAAAATTCTAAAAAAGTACAATTGGAGGGAATATTCAATAAAATATTCCCTTTGAGAATTCCAAAGCAAACTGGTTGTTTCATCACTGCCTGACCTTGGCCTTTTTTATTGTTGTCCGACCTCGGCCTGCTCGACCTCGGCCTACCTGACCTCGGCCTTATTGCTGACTGTACGACCTCGGCCTACCCGACCTCGACCTAGTGTCTCCGCGCGCCAAATTTCTCTGAATTGATTTTAACCCATACAGTTAGTCCCTCTACTTATCGAGGTGGTCTTTTGGTCGAGCTTGGTGAGCAGACTTCATTAATCGTAGTTCGAGAAATTCGAATGGGGAGGTCGATTCGTGTGGATCGCGGCTGAGGGTGTCGATCTTTAGGTCAAAGTGGTATCCCCGCGGGCTGAACTTGAGCAGAGTTTGATCAGGGATAATGGCTCGAGTGATGAGTCGATCGAGAAGACGGTAGAGTTGGAGAAGGCCGCCAAGGCCAGGATGGCGGCATCGGAGGAGGTCATTCGCGTCCTCGGATTTGGATGGGCAAGGAGGCCGAATGTGAATTCGGGCGAGGTTGCCGAATATAAATTCTGGCGAGGAGACCGAATGTGAATTCAGATGAGGTCGCCCAATGTGAATTCGGGCGAGGTCGTCGAATGTCGATTTGGGTGAGGTCGCCGAATGTTGATTCAAGCGAGGAGACCGAATGTGAATTCGGGCGAGGTCGCCGAATGTGAATTCGGGCAAGGTCGTTGAATGTGAATTCGGGCGAGGTCGTCAAATGTCGATTTGGGCGAGGTCGGCGAATGTTGATTCAGGCGAGGAGACCGAATATGAATTCGGACGAGGTCGACGAATGTGACTTCAGGCGAGGAGACCGAATATGAATTCGGACGAGGTCGCTTAATGTTGATTCGTTCGAGCTCACCGAATATGAATTCGGGCGAGGTCGCCGAATATGAATTCGGGCGAGGAGACCGAATGTTGATTCAGGAGAAGTCGCTGAATGTGAATTCAAGCGAGGAGACCAAATCTGAATTCGGGAGAGGTCGCCGGATGTGAATTCAGGTGAGGTCGCCGAATGTTGATTCGGGCGAGGTTGCCGAATGTGAATTCAGGTGAGGAGACCGAATCTGAATTCGGACGAGGTCGCCGGATGTGAATTCGAACGAGGTCGTCGGATGTGAATTCGGTCGAGGTCGTCGGATGTGAATTCGGGCGAGGTCGTCGGATGTGAATTCGGGCGAGGTCACCGGATGTTGATTCGGGCGAGGTCACCGAATGTGAATTCTGGGGAGGTCGCCGAATGTGAATTCGGGCGAGGTCGCCGAATGTTGATTCGGGCGAGGTTGCCGAATATGAATTCAGGCGAGGTCGCCGAATGTGAATTCGGACAAGGTCGCCGAATGTTGATTCGGGCTAGGAGACCGAATGTTGATTCGGGCTAGGAGACCGAATGTGAATTCGGACGAGGTCGCCAAATGTTGATTCGGACGAGGTCGAACGTTGATTCGGACAAGGCTAAAGTTGATTCGGACGAGGCCAAAATTTGATTCGGACGAGGCCGAAGTTGATTCGGACGAGGCCGAGGTCGAATTCTTCTCTTTGGCGATTGCCCTTGGCCGTAGGGGTGTTATTTCGAGCCGACGTCGAAATGTTAACCCGTTGTAATTCGAGCGAGGTTGAACTCCTCTCTTTGGTGATGACCCTTGGCCGTAGGGGTGTTATTTCGAGTTGACGTCAAAATGTTAACTCGTCGTAATTCGAGCGAGGTAGAACTCATCTCTTTGGCTATGGCCCTTGGCCGTAAGGATGTTATTTCGAGCTGACGTCGAAATGTTAACCCGTTATAATTCGAGCGAGGTCGAACTCTTCTCGTTAGCGAATCATAGGCTACCATACTGTCTGTAGACATCAGAGCGGATCTTGGTGTACTCGATTTTGTTTCTTTTCTTTTTTTTGGGAGAGTTTTGGGTGTCCTCTAGAGGAGTCCTAGTTTTGCTTAGCCTTTGCGTTTCCTGGGTGAGTCCCAGTTCGCTTAATTCCTGCTTCTATTCCACTTAGAGAAATAGTCAGTTAAAACAAAATGAAAGCATTCGTTACCTCGATTTGATCGGTCGACGAGTGGAGATGAGTGTCCACGTTCCCTTCTTCGGTTATTCTTTTAGTCGCTGCTACCAGTTTGGCAAGAAAGGGTTGTTCCGCCGAATAAAGAGGAATATATGCGGAAAACACCCTAAATCTTAGAGGGAGAAGGCAAGCCCTCGTCAAGTACAATCCCGACATTCATCTTCATGAAGACGTCTGAATCAACAAACTTTCCACCACCTCAGGTATATAACCTTTGGTGTTACAGGTCTGGTTGGATCCTTTCTTACAATTTCGTCAAGTTGAATTTACAAAGGAAAAGGGGAACATCAATCTTACCTTCAAAATACATACGACACGACGATTATATAGAGTCTTATAAAAAAGGCTTTCTTACATGATGAGTGTTTGAGGAAAAAAAAGTATGAGACCTTTTTTTGTTAAACTAACTAAATAAGAGGATTGAGGGTAAATTCTAGTTAAGGATAATTAATTCTAGATCCGAGATGAATAATACGAATAGAAAAACATAGCTGAGTATAAATGTTGGTAGTGATTATGGCCAGATTTAATAGCATAAAGAGAGATGCATTAAGTAACATTAAACAATAAAATATAAATAAAGGAAAAGATTCACCCAATCTTGAGTGAGGCGGATCCTCGTTTATTTGATAAAGATGAATGATAGACAAATACAAGAACCTTATGACTCTTTTTGGATTTGATGAAGGTATGGGATCACAGATCCTCTAATCTCTTTAGATAGGTGTGTTGTCAAGACCCCAACCTCGGTCGTGATGGTGCCCAACACATTGCTAGGCAAGCCCGACCATATAATGACCTTAACCCATTTCTCACACAGTTCGTGATTAATTACCACAGATAATTTACCAAGTCATAATACTTGAAGTCTGAAATAAGAGCTAAAACATGCGGAATCTCAATAATAATCCTACAACATAGCCCAAAAGGATCCGGTGTCATAAATCTGAGCCTCTAATATAGGTTTATCAACCTAATACATGTCCATCTAGGGAATACTAATTAAAAACAAGGATAAAAGGGAGAGATCTGAGCTGCAGACGCCATGCAGCTACCTCGATGCTCCAGGATATGCGCTGCTCAATTGAAATAATCCTCACTCAGCCTCAGATGCACCTAGATCTGCACGCAAGGTGCAGGGAGTAATGTGAGTACTCCGACCCAGTGAGTAATAAACATAAATAATGGCTGAGAATAAGAAATCATAGAAACGCACAGGGTAATCTATAATTAGGCAATTTAAGACAAGTAGAATGAAAGAGATAAACTAATGAAATCGAAGTATAGAATTACTACCACGGATAAGCAGATAAATGATAGATAAATAAGGAAATGCAACACATAAAATGGCACTCTCTAGTACCCGCTGCGGCGTGCAGCCCGATCCATTTATTTATCGTTGACGGCGCTCACTAGGGGTGTGCAGACTCCGGGAGGGGCCCCTTACGGCCCAAGCGCAATAACAAGCCATCTTATGGCATCAACTAAGCCCTCGGACTCAATATCGATATAATACTGTTGCGGCACACAGCCCGATCCTATACTCAATCCAGAAATCACATAAGCCCCTCGGGCAATAATAAAATAGTAGTCCTCAGCCCAAAACGTCATTAGAAATATTATTTAAGTTTCAAATCTGAGTAAAAGTGGTTGAGTTTGTAAAACAGTATTAAACAATAGGACTGAGATCAAGTAATATGTCAATAGTGAAGAAACAGTGATAATAATCCCCGAAGGGCCGAAATAGTTGGCGCAAAGCCCAAATATGGCAATCAATCCAAATAATGATGATAACAATTATGCTTCAATCAAATACGCAGTAAAAGCATCACTCGGGACGGACCAAGTCACAATCCCAATAGTAAACGACCCCACGCTCACCATCAAGCGCGTGTCTCACCTCAATATAGCACTACGATATGCAAATCCGGGGTTTCAAACCCTCAGGACATCATTTACATTCATTACTCACCTCAAACCGGCAAAAACTCT